TCTCATTGCTCAATTCTTTGAAGGTGAAGATGAATTTTTGTTTAGTTTGTTAATTTTTCTATCATGTCTTTTTCACAATATTATCTTGTGTTTGTAGATTAATTCATGGTTCTCACCTTCCACTCTAAAAATGTAAGTCTTAGATCTATAGATTTTAAATGTGTACTTTTATGTTTATATTCAAATAAAGTTACAAATACAAACTCTTTGCAGTTACTTTGCTAATATTTCATCTTATAGATTCTATTTTTAAAGTTTTGTTTTCAGATTAAAAACTATATTTCACATTTTCACATGTACATAGTTTCCAGATTTGAAAATTATCCGATATAGTAGACTTGTAATGAAGTCTACAAAACTAGAAGTGACTTTTTTGTATAATGTTTTTCTCATAATTTTATCTTGATTTTCTTAATATTTTCTTCCATGGTTTTTATCTAGTTTTCCCAAAAATGAAAGATTCACATTTTCAAATATATAAATTTTTCAGATCTGAAAATTATATAATATATAATAAACTTCTAATGAAGTCTACTGTTGGGGTCAAAATCGGTACGACGGAATCAATAGCCAAAATTCCCCGCAAAAATAAAAAAGGAATAGTTTTATAAAACGCAAGAAGTCGTCTTATAAAATTCGGAGTCATTTTATAAAACTCGAAGATCGTTTTATAAAACTCGAAGATCATTTTATAAAACTCGAGAAGTCGTTTTAAACCCAAAGATCCATTTTATAAAACTCGAAGATTTCTTTATAAAACTCGAGAAGTCGTTTTATAAAACTCGAAGATCGTTTTATAAAACTCGAAGATCGTTTTATAAGACTCGAGAAATCGTTTTATAAAACTCAAAGATCATTTTATAAAACTCGAAGATCGTTTTATAAAACTCGAGAAGTCGTTTTATAAAACTCTAGAATCGTCTTATAAAACTCGAAGATCGTTTTATAAAACTCGAAGATCGTTTTATAAAACTCGAGAAGTCGTTTTATAAAACTCAAAATCGTTTTATAAAACTCGAAGATCGTTTTATAAAACTCGAGAAGTCTTTTTATAAAACTCGAGAATCGTCATATAAAACTCGAAGATCTTTTTATAAAACTCGAAGATCGTTTTATAAAACTCGAGAAGTCGTTTTATAAAACTCAAAGATCGTTTTTTAAAACTCGAAGATCGTTTTATAAAACTCGAGAAGTCGTTTTATAAAACTCAAGAATCGTCTTATAAAACTCGAAGATCGTTTTATAAAACTCGAAGATCGTTTTATAAAACTCGAAGATCGTTTTATAAAACTCGAAGATCGTTTTATAAAACTCGAGAAGCCGTTTTATAAAACTCGAATATCGTTTTATAAAACTCGAGAAATCGTTTTATAAAACTCGAGAAGCCGTTTTATAAAACTCGAAGATCATTTTATAAAACCCGAGAAGCCGTTTTATAAAACTCGAGGAGCCGTTTTATAAAACTCGAAGATCGTTTTATAAAACTCGAGAATCGTTTTATAAAACTCGAGAAGTCGTTTTATAAAACTCGAGAATCGTTTTATAAAACTCGAGAAGTCGTTTTATAAAACTCGAGAATCGTTTTACAAAACCGCGAAAAACCGAAACCGCCGCAAAACGCGAACTAGTCACGACTAGTTCGCCTGCTGGCGAACTAAGCCAAGCTGGCTTAGTTCGCCAGCAGGCGAACTAGAAGCTTCCCGACTAGTTCGCCTGCTGGCGAACTAAGCCAGCAGGCGAACTAGGCACTCCCCGACTAGTTCGCCTGCTGGCGAACTAGAGACTCCCCAACGGCGAACTACGAGGTGCTGACTTTGCCCCACAGGTTCTTATCGCTTAGTTCGCCATATGGCGACCTGGCCAAGCTGAACTAGCTCGCCGTACGTCGAGCCGACCATCCCGAGCCTCGATCTCCCACATTCTTGATTCAAGGCATACGTCCCTTATTGTATTCCGAATCACGGTCGAAATGTCTCCCATTTTGTCTCGATCCGTCCTATCGTTCGAGTTTTACGATAAAAACCGTAAAACTTTGTTTTCTCGAAAAGAACTCGAAGAAATCGTATAAAACGGTAACGGTTAAGCAAGACACCGAACATCGCCTAAAACTATACGATTTATCCGAGATTTTTCTTTAAGATCATAAAAACGCGTTTTTAATAAAAGACGTCGAGAAAATCGTAAAAACGGCATCAGATCAGGAAGCGGTCTCGTATAAAGTCGTAAAACAGTTTTTATCGTAAAACGGCCCGAAAGGTCCTAAAACACGATAAAAACCCATCTCGTGATATTAACGAGATCAAACCCGAAGATACGATAACGTTTTGATGGTTTACTCGCAGACAAAAGACAAAAGGCAAGTTTGAAGATAAATAGAAGATTTCCGCGGAAAAAAAGGAAGGATCGACAGAAATGGAAACTTCCCGATATATTCGGTTTCGGGCGAAATGGAAAGATTAAAACCGCCTAGGAAGGAGTATATAAGCAGGAGGCATAGGGCAGAAGCTGGGACACGATTTTTAGAGCTCTCACCACCAAAATTAGCATTTAGGAATATTTCCTTTTTCTGTTAGCGAGCTGCGTCTCAACTAGGGTTTTTCGTTCTTAGGCATTTCGGCTACTCTTTTTGTACCAGTACTTACGCAGATTCGGAATAAGAACCTCTCAATTTCGTTTATTCTCTTTTAAATTCTAAGTTAATCGTTTTCTTAATCTTCGTTGTGCGGTTCTGCAGATAGCCGGTTCCTCTGGAAACTTAGAGTTTTCCCGAAGTTTCCTTTTTTACGATTTATTGACAGTAGGTGGATTTCGGTTCCCACATCTACAAGGTTATGACTTTAATTGTTTATCTTATGTTTTCCATAGTTTCATCTTTATTTTGCAGGTATTTTCTTCCATGGTTTTTTTCTCTTCCACAAAAAAATTGTAAGATTTACATCTATAATGTGTGTTTTTCTTTTTATATTTAAATATAGTTACATATTCAAACTCTGTGTCTATAATTAACTACTAAATTATTTTACAAATTCTATTTTCTAAACTTTATAGATTTAAAATTATTTTCATGTTTGTAATGTATATATTTTTCAGATCTAGAGTTTTTCATATTGAGTAGACTACAAATGAAGTTTATTAACTTTAACTTTTAAACAGACTTCATTAGAAGTCTACTCAAATATGATTTTAATTTTTCTGTCTTATATTTTTTTCATAATTATATTTTATTTTGTAGGTATTCTCTTCCAAAGTTTTCAAATCACATTCCAAAAAATGTAAGATTTACATATATTCATTTAAAATTTTATTTTTTTGTTTATATAAAACTAAATTTATAGATAAAAGCTCTATACTTTTTCTTTGCTAATTTTAGGTTAAACATTATTTTGAATTATTTTTCAGAAAATACTATTTTCTAATTTTGTAATTCTACATTTTTAGATCTGAAATTGTTTTTGGCATGAAATTTATTTTAAAATTAAGGCTAGTAGACTTTAAAGAAAGTCTATTGAACCCATCATATTTAAGTAAACTTTTATGAACTCTCCTAAAAATAATTTGAATATGTTTACCTTATGTTTACTCATAATTTTGTATTATTTTGCAGGTACTCTTTTCCAAGATTTCATTTGAGATATCGAGATTATGAATAATCAAACACTCTAAAGGTTAAAAAGAAATTGATTTGTTATAATTCATCTTTACAAAATATTCATTTGTAAATAAATATTCTGATACATAATCAATAAACATTGTATTAATTTTTTTAATTGTGTTGCATCTGTACGATATTATTAATTTTTGTTAGCAATCAGTTTTTCGAGAAATACTCTACTCAGCCAAACAGTTAAAAACCACCCTAAGCTAAAACAACAACTAACACACAATAATGAATTTGTTAAAATTATGTAATTTGAAGACTTGTTTTATAGCAGTTTTGGAGATTTTGAACACAAAATAGACTAATAATACAAATTAATACAACTCCAATTGGCAATAAAAGAGAGTAGATTTTAGTGTTTGTCTACTTTCCTACTTGTAGACTAATAAAGAAGTCTGCTTTTGTTGTACACATTTAAAAAAGTCTACATTACGGAAATCATGATTGTTTAACACTTCATAACAATACCAAAGAAACCTACAAATTAAACATAAGTTCATACACAACAACAGATAACTAAGCCATTTCTTGTGGAAAAAATGAAAATTTACATAGTTAGCGATCATGTTTAAAAAAACTATAAAGTAGACTTAACAATATGTCTACGATTATTAGCTAACTACATGATCAAATAAAAAGTATCATAATTTCATAAATATAACATATTTTCTTTTAAAAATCATTCAAACATATTAGGATTAACTAACACACACTGTCAAACAAAAAAATCTTGAAAAAACTTAATTAATAATACAAAAATTCACTTTTAATGTATTTTCAAACGTAGACTCTATAAGCAGTGTGCGTAAATGTAGACTTTCGTTACAGTTTACACATGTAGACTCCATATGCAGTCTTCTATTTAGGTTAGCTTTTGCAATTAAAAATTTTTACGGGTTACTTTCTATATTTGAAAAAAAATTGTGATTTTATACATGTAGACTTCCATTTCAAACTACTCATCTGGCGGTAGACTTCCATTTTTTGTTACTAAGCTAGGTCAATTGGAATACGACGACACGGGGAATGGCGATTATCTCTCTATTTTTCTCTCTCGATTCAAACTACTCATCTGGCGGTAGACTTCTTGTCTTACCCAATCAGAATGGAGGTCAATCCCGGAAGGAATTTATCTTTGCCGGAAATTGGATTTTTTTTGGAAAATTTCCAAAAATCTTCTCAGGAAATCACGCGTATATCGGCAAATTTTCCTTTTTTCATCAAATCTTCAAGCGATAAAGTTGTTTTCCTAGGGTTCTTGAAGCGGCCGCCATACTCAACGCTTGCTTCAACGAAGAGAAAACTACTTTTCTGGCTAGAAAATTTTCTGTTTCTTCTTCTAATGGATGAGGGTTTAGCACAAGTGATGAAAACAGTGCCTCTGGAGGAGGATATTCCAGTTATTTTGACTGAAGACGAAGATTATAGTGCTGCAGTTCGGAATAGCAGAAGTTCGATTGGACGATTACTGAACCCGGAGAGCCAGAATATGGCTCGTATGTTGCGTACGATGCCCAAGATTTGGAAGGTTTATGATCGAATGAGAGGAATAGCACTCACAAAGGAAAGCTTTCAGTTCATCTTTAATTTGGAATCTGACACTACAGGAAATGTGGGTATTGATAGCATCCTAGCATAGCGTTTTTGGTATTTCTGCTATTGTATATCAACACTTGTTTTGTTTATAGCGTTTATCAATTAAAAACGCTATAATTGTTATCGCGGGAAAATGAAAAAAATTAGGCGCGTTAATTTACTGAGTGTAAGTGCCCTAAAATTGCATATCCAAAATTAAATGCTATTGTATATCTGTAATTTTAATCAAAATATTTTAAGTTATTTTTTCCAGGTTTTATATAATAAAATAGTTTTGTTTTCTTTTTTTGATTTGATTCATTAACAGGAGATTCGTAAGTTAAAGTTGTAATTGTCTTTTTCCTCAGCAACAGGCTAGAGCAACAACTACCGACAGTTTGGCTTCCGACGACGATCGATCTATTGCAGCAGATTCATGGTCAATCAAGAGCGAGTACAGAAGCACTCTCGACGATGATCAGCGCCACGCCGACGCAGCCGGGAGTCTCTCCTCCGCCAACTTCCGCGTCTCTTCAGATTTCAGGTATACTTTCCGGAAATCGCAGAAAAGCTAGGGCTAATAAGAATGAAGAATTAGGGATTTTGTTAATGGAGATTTAAAATGATTTTTCCAGATCTGAGGGTTTACTAAATCTGTTGAGTGTTTCAGTTCTGATAAGGAAGAGCCAGATGATGGAGGACAGTCAATGCTTGGTCTCCAAAGCTATTGGGACGCTGCTTACTCTGATGAGCTCTCTAATTTTAGGGAGCATGGCCATACCGGCGAGGTTTGGTAAGTTAAGGATCCTCTACTTCTCTGGTCATTAGCTTAGTGGAAGTTTTGTTAACTTGTTTCATTTCCTTGTTGTGATAACTTTAGGTTTGGTGATGATGTGATGTAGATTGTTACTTCTTGGACAAAAGACTTGTGCGTTGAGATTTCTAAGTAGGAGATGTCTGTTTCTGATAATGGTGAGGTGAATAATCGGGCTGACAAGTATTTGTCTAGCTGGAATGTGCTTGACCTCGGTACTGGAAATGGTTTACTTCTCAGCTTGCTAAGGAGGGGGGGAGCTTCTTAACATTTTTTTTTCAAGCTCTGTTACTAATACTAAGTGTGTAGCTATGTTATGTCATCCTTCGTTTTATATTAGCTGATTGACATTAGGTACGTCTGAGAAGTTAAGAAATGAGAATCATGTTGGATTCAAAATAAACAAGATATAGTCATGTCTTTGTAGACTGGCTTTGTCTGCTGCTGCATAGATCTTGTGTTGACTTTCTTCTTTCACTCTTGCACCAAGTCATGTTTGGCATGATGACTTTTGGAGATATGAGTCTCTACGGCCGTATCATTGATAATTTTCTTACTTCAACAGAACATTTACACACCAGTGCATGTCCATTAGAACGTTACGTTAATACTCTACTTAGTATTATTAACCTCATCATCCTTGTATTTTTTCTGGCTCAGGTTTTCTGATTTAACCGAGACAGATTATAGTGAAGGAGCGGTTGAACTCGCTCAACATCTCTCCC